AGGTTAACTCCTGAAGCCTTTTCCATCAGTGGATATAGCCACAAGGCAGTGGAGGTTTGAAATCGGAGTTTTCCTTCTCCTAGATGGGCTGCCTTCCAGGGCCGAATGAGTCCCACCTACTCATGGCATGGGCAACAATGGCAGCGCCTCAGTGGGGGTTTGAAATCAGAGTTTTCCTTCTCCCAGATGGGCTGCCTTCCAGGGCTGTGCAAGAAGGTCTCCACAGGATCTGAACAGGACCTGTAGCTCAGAGTACATTTTGTTTTAGATAAGCTGTATTTCTGCAGCTATCTCAAACATATTTTTGTATTTCATATTTCTATTTTTGACATTAATATGAATTATGAGCAGGCTATTTAATCTTATCTATCTGTCTGTCTGTCCATCTTATATTTCTACTTTTGACATTAATATGAATTATGAGCTGGCTATTTAATCTTATCTGTCTGTCTGTCTATCCATCTGCCTATATACTTAGATCCCAATTATATCTAATGAGCCCAAGATACCTAGTTAGCTACACCCTTATTTTATCTTCATAACATCCCATAAGGCAATCCAGGCCAATAGAGACAATGATCTTCCCAAAATCGCCCATCTCGTTTCATAATCCTTTTGGCTGGTTGAAATAGGAGCTCCTCATCTGGAAGTACTTCAAAAGAATCCTGTTGTCCACAACAGTTTGTTTATGGTGTATTTAAAGACAGAGTAGCACAGACAAAAAGGACATTTGCAATATTTTATACTTTCAATATATTTAAAGTGGTCTTTATTTAGGGTTAAATCTGGACTAAACAAACCCATTGCAGTACAATTTAGCCTAGATTCGTAAGTCCAGTGTTGTCAGTTCACTGACAGTCTCAACATTATAATGTTTCTAATGTGATTACGTGAGTCAGCAGACTTGGTCTTGAGCAGCAGTTCAGCAGTACTGTAATAAATGGCTAGATGAAGGAACTTACACCACTGTTTTCCCCAGAAGTAGTCACTTAGCTGGAGCCACTCCACTGACACATCAAGACAGGAATACAGTGAGAGCAGCACTAGAATTCCTTATTGCATATTTAAAGACAAAATTACTAATTCAACATACATATGCAGAACACTGAGATATTGACTAAGCAGATTAGTACAGGAAAATCTCCTTAGTAAAAGAACTCCTTTGGCAACATATGTTGAAATGCTGCTACAGAAGCCTACAGGGGTTAAAAACTTTTTAAAAGTGTGAATTCACAGAAAAACTATACTGTACTCTTCTCCAATCAGGTTCCTCTCCAAAGGAAGGAGGGGTGTTATTAACAGAGATATTTCTTCCAGAAAAAAAAAATTGAGATACTTTGAAATTGCCCCTCTCCAACAATGTTACAGTTGTGCCATCATTCCCAACTGAACTTGGATTATAGCAGGAATGGTCAAAGTGCAGCCTTCCAGATGTTCTTAGACCCTTAAGTCCCATCAAACCAAACCAGCACTGACAATGGTGAGCTGAGAATTGCAACCTAACATCTGGAATAAATATTAAGATGACTATTAGGAATATAGTCATGTGGAAAATTAAGTGCAGCCTCTTTTAATTCTATGGTTTTATATAAAAGGACATAATAAAAAAAATCTGGTCCTCAGCAGGTCTGAAAATTAGGTAAATACAATCTCAGATGAACAACACCACATCATGATTTATTAAGTCCTATGTCAGCTGTCACCAATAGGCATCTTCCAAATGTGTTGGTCTGTCAATCCCATCATCCCCATCCGTACAGGTTGAGGTGGTGATAATTGTAAAACATCTGGAAGGCACCTGATTGGGAGAAGCTGCCTCATGTAATTTCTACTATGCTCAGAGAAGATGGTGGAACACTGAAAGCTTATGCAAATATTTGATTCAAAGAAACGGCCAGATTCCATTATGCGTTGGTTTTACTCTTAGCCAGCTGACAAAAGACAGGATCCTGAAATGGTTGTATACTTAGGTTAGTAAAGAAAACAAAGATTCTTGGGTCTTGTTGAAGACTAACAAGTTTTAATACATACAACTTTTTGTAGAGTGCGGTCCTCATATGGCAAATAAAATTTGTTACCCTTACAGAATATGTATATGTATGTTGAATTAGGAATTTCATCTTTCAGTATGCAACAGGACTGTTGTTTATTTTTGCTGCAACAGACTAACACCACTATCTCCTTAGAAAAGGGGAATTGCATTGAGATACTAAAGGTATTCAGTCAGGGAACTGACCACACAGGAGATTCTAAGGCTTTATAGATGAGCCACTGACAACATGTTGCTGTTTCTAAATCCATTGCCCTCCAGAACTCCCACTTAATATAGGAAAATCCATTCTGGAACCCTAGATCTCTTTCCCACCCCTTACAAGCATTCTTTGAAATACTTGGATCCAGTTTGATTTGCCCACTGAATGCAGAATCCTTTTCTTATCAATCTCAGACATGCCAAGAGAAATGCAAAGAAGGCATTGTTGGGTCCATGGCATGATCACCGAAAAGGTGGTAAAATGACAATAAGAGGAGGCGGCCTGGCCAAGAGCCGTTCATGAATCCGGGATGGAATGAGTCGAAACACCAGATTTGAAAGCTGGAGCTGGAGGAGAGCTGTGTGGTTACACTGGACGGCCAGAAAGACCCAACAAGCGACTCTTAGATCAAATCATGCCTGAGCAATCTCCGCAGGCAAAGATGATGACACTGAGGCTGTCCTACTTTGGGTGGATCATGAGAAGACAGGGTTCTCTGGAAAAGACCATCATGTGGGGAAAGGTGGAAGGCAGCAGGAAAAGAGGAAGACCCCCCCCATACGAGATGAACGGACTCCCTAAAAGAAACCACAGGCTTGAGTTTGCAAGAGCTGAGCCAGGATGCTGAGGACGGGGCCTTTGGGGGGCCACTCATCCGTAGGGCCACTGTAAAACATGATGGCACAGAACAAGGGCGTATCTCTGATCTTTAGTTTGCCATCTGTGGCCAAATGTGATTGTTTTTCCTGACTGGCAGTTTTGGCTTTAACAGTTGAGTTCAGGGTTCAATTTCCACTGGGCAAGGTTTTTATTTTCATGTGGCAAGTGAAATGGCTAATGAAACTGAGGTGGCGGTTTTGCCTTGTGCTGTGTTACAGGATTACTGTGAATTCCGATGGAAGCTGCTTGGTTTTCTGACTAAGTGTGTATTTATTTATTTATTTAAAATAGGCTTGACCCTGGCTTTCTCCTTAAAAAAGGACCCAAGGTACCTTTTTTTTAAAAAAAAAATGCTTAATTCCAGGATTCCCTCTCATAAACCTTTGTTTTTCACATCCCGTTCTCCCCCATCCCTTCCAGGTGCCGTCTCCCTGCTCGTGAAATGCAGGTCTGAGAGGAAAATGGTCTCTCCAGCACAGTCCTTAACAGAAACCAAGGCACGCTAGACAGCGACCAAAATGCTGGGCAGTCCAGTACATAAGAGAACCCAGAGTGGATTTTTTTTCTGTTATAAATCAGTGTGGAGGGAATACAAGTTTGGAAGAGGAAGGAGGATCGTTTAAATTTTGAGGCAGAGAGAGTGTGCAGGGAGGGGAGAGTCAGAGCGTGATTGGTATTAGTTAAGATAGAAGAGATTACATATATAAAAACTGCAACCAAATGAGAGATACTTGTTTGTTTATTTGTTTGTTTATTAATTAAAATTCTATCCCACCCATCTAGACCAAAGGTCTATTAGTTAAGATAGAAGGGGTTAAAGGGAAAATTCTGAAGCTTTGTGTAACTTTAAGAATGTGCATAAGAACCATTCCTGAAATAACTTAAAAACCAATAAACCTGTTTTTATTTCAACGTGAAGTCCTGAATGGACCTCAGTCTTTCATAGGAGATATAATTAAGAAAGAGATCAACTGGTGGCACTTTTTTACCATGAAAGGAGTCCCCAGGCCAGCAGCCTCCCTGGTCAGTATGAGTCATCATCTCCTGTCACAATAGCAAAACCAGCCTTCCCCTCCTCACACACCCTTTGCCCCATCACTTTACTGTTCCCAGTAGAGAGAGAGACTGGTTAGCTGATCAGTCTCCTGATGATGGAAGTGATGCTTGTAGACGGCCAGTACTCTGTCAGAGTCCTGACTGGAAAAGAAGAGGAGGTAGTTTCCCAAGGACCAGCCATGAACGTGATTGATCACCTGAACACTTTATTCCTTCCTGGGGCTGAAGCTCTTGTCCCTTGAGGTGGCAGAGAAATACGCTCCTGCTCTGACGCCACTCTGCAGGCGCCTGAAGGAGCTGGCCGCCCTTTGGCTGGAAGGATCCAGGCTGTACCTCAGGTCTTGCCAAGGAGAAGTAAAACTTCCAAGTCCACAGCAGCTCCTTGCACAGCTTCTGGTCTCGGCTGCCCCTCGTAGCCAGAGAGGGTTCTGGGCCCTCCAACTTCTGCACGCCCTACGTGCCGACGTCAACAAAGCCGTGGTTCAGCCTTGGGCAGAGGAGATCCTGGAGATATGGTGATTTTGCCAGGCAGAAGGCCCGAGAGCGAGCCAGCCAGAATGGGAGCAGAAGCTTCTGCAGTTGCTGAGGAAAACCCTGAAGATCATAGAGGATGATGGGTGGACCCAAAATGTCGTCATCAAACTGGAAGACCAGAGGCCCAGTTACACCGATGAGTCCCCGGAAAAGAGCTTCCTCTATAAAGCCCTGGGAGTGTCCCTGGCCTGTTGCAAGGACCGGACGTTCATTCAGGGCAGGCTGAAGGTGCTGGTGGAAAAATCTGATTTCCGGGAAGCAGCACAGATAGAGAAAGTGGCCAAGATCCTTTCCTTCTCTGCTGCAGGGCATTTGGGCCTCACTCTGGCCACATTAGAGCAGTGGTCCCCAACCATGGGCCTCCAGATGTTCTTGGACTTCAACTCCCAGAAGCCTTCACCACCATCTCTGCTAGCCAGGAGTTCTGGGAGTTGAAGTCCAAGAACATCTGGAGGCCCGAGGTTGGGGACCACTGCATTAGAGGACTGCATAGCTGGGATGGCTGCCCCCCTCGCCCACCAGAAGGATGACCAGAACAGCAGGCGAGGCCAGCTCCACCAAGCCCTGGTTTTCATCTACGGCCAGATTGCCCTCCAAGCCCCAAAAGAGATCTTGTCACTGGAGGCGGGGACAGGCATCCTGAGGCGAGCCCTCGGCCATTACAGGGCCAGCTGCCAACTCCTGGGTGTCACCGTTGAGAATGAGGGCACCCACCTGGAACTGACATTCTGCAAAAGCGTGACGGACATTTGCAACGCCGTCCACGAAGCCCAGAATGCCAGCTTCTGGCTGGCCTGCAAAGAAGAGATCCTGGACACTTTGTTGGGCTTTCTTGGAAGGAAATGCTTCTTTGAGACATCCCTTTGCCCGAGAGCCATCACGGCCGTCGTCTCTGTCAGCCAACTCAAGCCGTGCCTGCTGGCTGAAGACCTCCGGGGTCTGCTGGCTCTCGTCACCAGGTGCCTGTTTCCCCTCCC